GTGTGCTTGGGTTTCATCCTCGGGCCTCTGCATTTAACTCTATAAGACGTTGGGACGAAGACCGATCTTTAGTACCTGATTTAGAGTCAAGTGTGATAACCTGTAATCTCAGCTACTGCTGCGACCTTGCCAGGAAGATTTGCATGTCAAGGCCTGCCTAAGCTACAAAAGGATGGCAAGGCCAACCTGGGTCACTTCATGAGACCCTGGGTAAAACTAAGGAGTCAAATGAAGGCTGGGGATACATCCCAGTGGTAGAAGGCTTGCCTAGCATGTGTGAAAAAGGGAGGGGAAGGGAAAACTATTTAGAGAACTTTCGTTTTTAATACTAAGCCTCAAGTATCCCAGACTGGCATCAAATGTGGTGTGTTGCCAAAAACGTCCGAAGCTTCTGGCCTCCTGGTTGCTGGGATCACAGGTGTGTGCTGCTATTTCAGGCTTATGAACTGCTAGCTGGAACCCAGGCCTTTGTGAATGCTATATCCCTAGCCTGTAGCTTTTGTTCATAAGCCACTTCCGTCCTAAGCCGAGGCCCTCAGGGCTGTTAGAGAAGGAGAAACAACAAACACAAAAAACCACTGTTCAGAGACCACGTGTTCATTCATCAAGTCACTAAAAATGAGCAGTGGCTGCAGGATATAAAGGGAGGAGGAGATGGCACTCAGGCTTGCCTGCTTCCAAGAACTTCTTTAATTACTTTTGCTTTTGAGACAGAGTATCACTGTGTAACCAGCCCAGAGGACAACTTGCTTTAGCCTCCCAAGGGCAAGCCACCACAGCCGTCTGCTTCCAGTAACCTTCAGGCAAAGTGGGTAGGTTATGACTGGTAGGATGTGGACATTTCTTTGTGGCTGGAAGCGTATCTTAGAGTCAGAGGGTATGATTAATGGCAGAGAGGCCTTGGGTTCGGTCCCCAGCATCAGAAATAGAAAACATACATATATGTGCTATAGACACCTATGTCTGACACATGTGGTTTTAGAGAAGGTAGAAGGCCACAGTCACACAAACCCTTCCTGCTTTCTTCCTGCTATGCCGTGGAAACATATGTACAAGCACCCAGTCTTGATGTTCATGGGCCCACAGCTCCTGTTCACCAGGAGGGACAAACCTCCTGCTGTTAGGACTTCTGTCCACCAAGTGGCTGCTGCCTGTGCCGGCTTTCCTCACCACAGATTGCTGTTCTTCCAGACACAGAACCCACTTCCTTGAAGCTTCTAACTCCAAGAGATCTGGGGGATCCACCCTCAGTATCTTAGTGGCCCTCACTCACTGGTAGCATCCAAGGGCATAAAAGAAAGGTCAAGGGGGACCGAGGGCCTGAGCAATGCTCTCCCTGGGCAATGTATGTGTCTATCCAGAGTTGGACGACCTCTGCAGAGCAGGCAATGCTAATTCCCCAAGGCCCAGCCATTAGGATGGCTTCCAGAGCAGCAGGCCACTGGTTTCAACCCCCCGACTGGTCACCGTAAGTGATAGTGAGGGTGGAAACAGACATATTGTCTGGGGAGATAAATGAAGCAATAGCTTCCAAAATTACAAATATGTGTGCCTTATTTATATAGAACAATTCCGTTCATAGAAACATCCACAAATACATTTACACCAATATGAAAAGCCTAATTATTCACTGCAACATCTTCTATTAATAAAGACAGGACAGGTGTCCATTAGCTAGTTTTATGTATTATATCCATTCACACTAAAAATGGGCATCTTTTGTGTGTTGATCTAGAAGGATCGGAAGTTGGTTCCTTATAGCTAAAATTTAAAAGTACAGGATGAGGTATATCTGTGTGGGAAAAAGTGGCTACAGGAGATGTTTTTATACTGAATTGTTTGTATATCAAATGTTATTGTAAGAATTAATAAGATTCAAGAGTAGTTACTCATTGAGTTAAACAGTACAGTGAGAGTAAGTTTCTGGTATATATTGTGGATAATGTGAATATATTATCTATTAAAAACTTACAAAATAAAATTACAAAAAAAAAAGAATAGAGCTGGGCAGTGGTGGCTCACACCTTTAATCCCAGCACTAGGGAGGTAGAGGCAGGCGGATCTCTGTGAGTTCAAGGACAGTCTCGTCCACAGAGCAAGTTCCAGGATAGGTTCCATAGCTACACAGAGAAACTCTGTCTCAAAAAAAAAAGAAAAGAAAAGAAAAGAAAAGAAAGAATAGTGGAAAAATAATGGGTGCATCCTGAGGCATGAGAGGAGCAAGAAGTACTGAAGGAAAGGAAGGAGGCGGAGTACTTGGGCGTGGCTCTGGTGGCTCACAGGCCTCGGAGAACAGGGATCTGCTACATTTCTTCTCGCACGCACTGTTTGATTTCAGGACCACACGCAGGTATGCCCTTAAGGTTTGGGGACTCTCGGTCTTTTTCAAAAGTGTAAACCTTTCTACACACTTTCTTCAAATAGCGAGGTTGTTCACTAAAGAAATGACAGCCTTTGGGTCTATCTTGGGACGACTTTCATTCCCCAACCTACTCTGATGTCCTGGGAAAAAAAAATTGCCAAATGGCATGTATTTGTTTCAGAGATGGCTTGTGGGGAATCTCATGACACCCTTTGCGATAACTGGCAGGGTTCGGGGGTTGCAAAACACGACTCGGGCGCAATCTCCCTGATGAACAGCAAGAAGGCGCAGCCAAATGCAGCCTGCACCACCCTGGCATGCC